ATATATATATAGATATAGCTCTTCATTGTATTTTACATTAAGTTAGACAAAGTTATAAACACAAAATATTTGTGTTCTTTCTCCATATTTAGTGAAATCTCCTTTACTTTGCAATTTTTTTTTTTTATCAATTACTTCATATTGTGCCTATAATCTTGCATTCTCTTCAACAAATTGGTATCAGGGCAATCTGATATCATCCTCGTTTACAAAACTTTAAAATGCTGATCTTTTGATATAGAAAGCAGCTTGTGACTTTGAAGTATGGAGCAAATTAGGAAAATTCTTCACAGCTATTGTCATATTCTCTTAGCATATTGTACAGTTTGGTTTGAGTATTAATGCTTCAACCTGGTGGTAGGTTTTTGTTGCAAGAGGTTCTATAAAGCCATTATGCGATTTTCTAGTTAATTCCAATAAAGTGGATATCATCAAAATCTGCTTGGCATGCCTTTGAGAACCTTCTGAAGGTTGGAGAAGCCGAGAAGAACCAGGGTTTTCATTGACACCAATTAAGTTGATAATGATTTTATTGCCATTTACCGCTACTTTTTCTTTAAGCAGTTTCGATTTGCTTTCTATTAATTTGTTTCCACAGAAATTCCAGAAATTGAGAAAGTAATACGGTCTGGGGTTGTTCCACGGCTCGTTGAGTTTCTTGCAAGAGATGATTACCCACAGCTTCAAGTTTAAATTTGTGCTATTAATTGTTCATTTCATGTGTCTCAACTTGATATGCCCATTTTAATCAACGCTGCTCGTTTTTTTTCAAATATGTTCCAAACTTTGAATTCAACTCGTTTCGGCTCCCTAGCCCTTCACAAAACTTGAACCTTGGCTTGTCAAATTCTTCAATTTGGAATCCAAAGCTCGATCAAATAATCGCCTATCCCGGATCATTGATGAGTGAAATTAACTCATTAAACAAGTTCCTTTAAATCGTAGTTTTTAGTTTGTTCTTGAGCACTTTTGAGCGTTTTGATGTGTATGTTCATGTTATTTTGTAGTTGGACAAATTGGATGAAAACGGAGTGATTTGGAGCTTGAAATGGAGTTATGATGATGATCATGGAAGGAGATATGACATGGAGATGAAGGAAGAGAAGAATGAAGTGGAGAGAAGACTCATATTTGACACAGTAAACGATCGAATTAGAGGATGATGTCTGAAGTAAAGTTGTAGCCCTTTGAGTTAGGTTTTCAACATGTTTTGAATTACCTCAATCGGACATCGGAATAAAAAGTTATGATAAAAATACTGAAAAAGGTGTAGCTGCCGTTCTGAAAAACAAGCAGCAAGCGCGGCGCCAAGGCGCCGGATTCCGAGAAAGAGAAAAAATGGAAATTTTAAAAGACTTTCGGCCCGGTCCAACCCTATTCCGTCTTGAAACTTGTGGACACTATAAATACCACCATAAAGACCTAATTTTGGGGGTGAAGAGGAGGAAAAAGATACAAAATGGCTGAATCTCTAAGCACAATAAGAAGAAGGAATTGAAGAAATCAAGGAAAGAAAGCGTGGAAATATCAAAGGGGACTTCGATCAATGTTTCAAAAAAGAGTTTTTCTTACCTTCTACTTTATGTTTTTCATTGTAGATTGTTTAGATTTTATGAAATTCTTCATGAACTAAATAATTTAGCTATGATTTGATGTAATCACTTGAGATTATGGCTTGATGAATTTATAATTATTTCTTTTGGATTTCCCACATGTATTTAATTGTGTTATGAGTATAATGCTTTCAATTACCTAATCAATCATTGGATGAATAGATGCTAGTCAATTCCGGTACTCGAGAGATGAGAATTTAGGTGTGATCATATGATTAACACAACATAGGTTTTATAGGTTTCGAGAGAAAGTATAAAATCTATGAAGCTTACTCCACAAAAGAATCTGGACTTTGATAAATTCTAGACTTTAATTCAGAATAGAGATATTGGGATTGAATTTTAGGATTAATTTTTAGCCGGCACTCGAGAGAGGGGAGACCAATACAATAGATTCTTGCTTTTAAATATGGGAAAATCATTGGAATAATTTGAAGTCATTGAATCATAATTGAAAGTTGGTGAAATCATTCTCTAGGCTTTCTCATTTTGATAATTTATATTCTCTAATTTTGTCGTAGTATTTTACCTAGGGCTGGGCAAAATGTCCGAACCGAACCGAACCGAACCGGAACCGGAACCGAACCGAACCGAACCGAGCGGGTTTTTTAAAATGAAATACCCGAACGGGTATTCGAATCGAGAACCGAATGGTTTGGTTCGGTTCTCGATTCTCGACCGAGAACCGAAGAACCGAATTTTTTTTTTATATTGGATAAATCAATTTCTTTTATTTTTTCTAAACAAATTAATAATTTTTTTCTTATTAAATCGTATTAGTTGAACAATTTAGAGTTTANAACCGAACCGAAACCGAACGGTTCCAAAATTATATTTGGAACCGACGGTTCCATTTACTAAATACCAAAAAATTTCTGGAACCGAAAAAAACCGAACCGAACTGAACCGAACCGAACCGACCCGCGTCCACCCCTAATTTTACCTTTGATTAGTTTTTTTTTTTTAAAAAAATTTATTTCGACCATTCATTTGTCTAAATAAAATAGAAGTTATACAATTATAGTACTTGGTGGAAATTAAATTGCAATCCCTGTGGGTTCGACATCCTAATTCAATACTATATTACAAAACTTGACACCGTACACTTGCAGTATAATTCACGTTGCATAAAACGCGTGACAAGTTTTTGGCGCCGCTGTCGAGGATTGCTTAATTTGATTTTTACTAATATTATTACCAAGTAACTTTTATTTTAATTTATATTTCTTTTCTTTTGATATCTTTGTTTATCATATTTCAGGTTTGTGCGAAGATCGAGAAGCGTTGGGTTATTCACCTTTTGGTGGGCCTTCTTAGTTCTTCCTGCGATGATGTTCGTTAACAGGTAGATATTGTAAATGTTGAAGGGATTACAATCAAATCAAGAATCTCACCAAACACACACCTTCACCAAGAAGAATTAAGATCAATATGTACACATATGCCAACGAAGTTCAAAGATGAATTCAAAACTGCACTAGGATGATACGCAGAAGATAACACCTAGTGGAAAACTCTACCTGGATTGTAGCAATTACACATTCAAGAATGAGGGAGACTTTTTGCATGCCTGGGCTAGAGAATGGAGATTTGTGGCTGGTGCTTCATTTAGATTATTCAAGTGGACTCCAGATTTCGATTTCCACAGGGAGTCATCATTGGCTCCTCAAGCACCTTTACCGGCAAGATTGTCTTCGTATCCTAGCATCGCGATTTGGCCGATACTTGGGTACAGATCATGCTACCTTAAATCGCACACGGGCCTCTGGTGCTTGTATCTGTGTTGAAATTGATCTAGTGGCTTATATGGTAGAATGCTTTCCGATCACATTTGGTTCGACAACTCTTTGGCAACGTGTTAAATATGAAAAACTTGGTTTCTATTGTAAAAAGTGCAGGAGGCAGGGTCACACAGAGGTTGTTTGTAGAGTGGGTCAACAATTTCATGAGAAGCAGAAAATGAAGAAAGTCGTAACTATTGGCCCGGAAAAGCAAGAGTGGAGACAAAAAATTGGAAACGTGGGTAGTGATGTGGGAATAGAAAATCGACATGTGCAGGAGGGTGGAGGTATGACTACGTTGGATGCAAGTGTTTTTGGTGGTACAACCCACGAGCAAGGAAATGATAATATAGAGAAGGTTGGTGAAAGTAGTAGAGGAATAAATCTGTTCGTGGATAATGATAAGGAGAAAATGGATGTCATGGAGATTGAATTGGGGAGAGATAATAATATGGATGAGGATGGAACTGTAGCGTCGAAAACTACTGGGATCGAAATTGCTAAGCTTGGAGGAGACACTCACATGATACCTTTAGGTGGGGATTATTTGGTGGATGGGAAGCAAACAAGGGAAGAAGGAGAAATAGAGGATAGAGAGACAATTTTAAATGGAGATATGGTGGTCACGGTCAAGGGTAACGAACAAATAAATGAAATGACCATGCACATAATGCTAAGGACAGAAGAAGATCAAGGTGTCAAAGACAATGCTGAGGAATTACAAGAGGACTCTAGGGATCATTGCGTTGCAAACGAGGACGAATTTTTCTCAACTCGGGGAGAATGATAAAGTGCAAATTGAAATGAAGTTTATGGTCAAGTGGGATCGAAGTGGGATCGGCACAAGTAAAACAAATAACTTTTCGATTTTTGAAGGAATTTTGGGGTTGTCCCTTTTTGGCGAATTTTTAGTCAAATTCGATTGGAAACGAGTCAATGAACACAACTCAAAGAATCAGGGCTAATTTTGGGCAAATTCCATCGTTTAGACATTCGTTTAGGCTTTTTGCTATTTATGGTAATTAGTATTTTTACAATATCTCATTCAATAAAATTCGGATTCGTATTCCGTTTGTTGGGGGATGATCCTAGTAATTAGGAGAATTAAGATCCGTCATTATCTCAATTTTTTCCATTTTTGGAAAAAAAATATATTTTTCCGAATTTTCTTAGGTTTTCACTATTTTAATATTGTAAGCCCTTTGATGCAGTTCAGTTTTTGATGAAATAAAAAGTTTTCAACTTAAAGAGAATTAACTTTAAGAAACTGTGTTGATTTTTATATTTCCTATGAGCTTCTCCTGCATCACTCATCTAGTCCATAAAGACGATAGGGAAGTCCTTGAACTTGCTTGCTGGGCACTTTTCCATCTATCTGAAGGGACAAATGATATAATCTAAGTTGTGATCGATGCTGGTGTTTGTGGGTTAGCCTGCTTCCATAGTCGGATTTTGTTGAAAATAGATATGAAAGTTGAAGGCAAAAAAATATGTACACTCAACATGACCCAACTTGCATCTCTATTTATTGCACTTAGAAGGAAGACCACTTGAAGTCGGTCAGAGAGAGAGTAGGCTCATTACTTTGACAACTTCCATTAGAATTAATAGGAATTGGGTTTTTTTTTTCTCTGCCAATGGAGTGTGGATAAGGATCCACAATAAAGAAAACTTATATGGTACTAAATGTACGCGCAATTTGATGACTATACATTGCATTGCTAATCAATTGCATTTATACAACTTGAAAAAGCTTATACTTGATATTGAAGTGTCTAATTGCTTTCACATGACGTGGGACCCATCTCAATAAAAAGGTCAAAAAAATTACACAACCCACCCCTCTTCCCATGTGCGAGTGTTCTGTGCCCCCATACATGCAGCTGGGTTCCACTTCCATAATAATACTTGCGTGCACATGCACAAAGACCCACCCTATTTTCTGGCTCTCTCTGCACTCCTCTTCATCCTCTCCCTCCACTCAATTCCACCACCTCCACCTCCGAGAACCACCACTTGTGATATTATCTCTCAATCAACTTCTATGATTTGTGAAGAAATCAAAGATGGCTAGTGCTGATGTATTATATCTTGATCAGATTCTGGAGCAGATGTCAAATCCTCATCTAGAACAACATCAGACTCCTCTTCAGGGCCAAAAAATTAAATCTCTCCAGGAAACCTTGAATTTCTTATTAGATTTTCTAGATGATTTTTGGCAGAGAAGGAGCGAGGAATTACGATGTTTGGAAATGGAACTTCGAGATGCAGCGTGCAAAGCTGCAGATATCATCGAATTACATATATTAAAGAATTTTGATCAGGCAGAGTTTTATGAAAGACAGATCAGAGACCAAACTTTTTGTGAAGACTTGGAGATAGTAGCAGATGAAGTTGATTCCATTAAGACGAAGGCAGCTAAGCTTAAGGAATTGTGGAGCGCAACAGATCTGCACCATAGCCAGAGGACTTCTTTGTCAACCGGTCCATCAAGACTTGCTTCAAGTGGAAAGAATGCTATGGTTCGTGAAGATTTTGAGGGCATAATGGATCGACTTACTAGATATCCACCTGCTCTTCAAACCATCCAAATTACAGGCATGGGAGGTGATGATGCCACTCCAGACATCTCGAGCACGAGGACATCCTTTTGTGTTCCCTCGCGATTACGGCGTATGAGTCATCGGGCATCCGTAGTCCTCGAGCTACCTCAAGGATACTCGAGGACAACTTCACAAAATCCTCCAGAAAACACACCGGAAGTCCTCGGGATGTCAGAGCTCGGGATAGTCACTATGCCGACATCAAACGACTCGTCGAGACGTGTTCCACCAGCCCCCATCCGGAAGGTCTCCTAACTTTATCCAATCACCACTTTTCAAGAGTTCCGGGTCAACAAGGAGTCTACTCCTACTAATGCCACTCAAAGGATAAGAACACGACATCTATTCATATCCCAACAAACAATACCTAAAAACAAGGTGAGTAGTCCTACCAAAACTCCACTACCACCCCCTATAAATACATCACTATCATTAACCATTAAGGTACGTTTTTACACATATTTTCCAGCATATATATATATATACTCTCTTTATTCTCTCTATGACTTAAGCATCGGAGGGGCGACGAGGCCAACCCTCGACGCCTTTGTTTCAGGTACCGGGAGATCTCGTTCGTGCTCTTTCTGGGTCGTCAACCTCAGGAAGTCGACAGGTACGATTTTTGGCAGCATCATTTGGCGCCGTCTGTGGGAACCGCTACCAAAAGTCATGGTGAATACACGCTCAGGTCCTCCTCTAGCAGGCTCGTCGACTCTGAACCAACCGCTCGCGACAGATCCTCAAGCTCATCAGGAAGGAGCGTCGGGGGCGTCAGATCCCCCACCCGCAATGGTTACTGCTGGAGCATTGGAGGAGCAACGTCAACAAGTTGCGGCCTTGACCCAGCTACTCAGCCAAGGAAACATCCCCCAAGCTTCAGCCCCAGCACACACGCAAACACCGGCGTCGGAAGGAGGTGTCGTGGCTGATGCTCGAGCTCGGGACATCCGTGATGCCCACGACAATGGTGGGTCTGGGACCTCGGGCATATCCCCATATGCCTCGGCCTCGAGAGTGGTCACCATGGACTCGGGCGAACTCGCACGAATCATACAAGATGGAATTACGGCAGGACTATGACAGAATACTAAGGGAATGGTAGGGTTTGCCCCTAACACTCCATTCACGCCAGAGGTTCTTTCATACCCGCTCCCGGACAGGTTCAAATTCCCCCGTATAAAGGAGTACGATGGGACAACCCACCCCATCAACCATCTAAATGTCTACATAGACGTCATGAACTTACAGGTTGTACCAGATCAAGTAATGTGCAAGGCCTTCCCTCAAACGTTGACCAATGCTGCTAGGGATTGGTTCGCCACATTGGAACCAAACTCCATATCGTCATTTTCTGACCTTACCGAAAAGTTCTCCGCTTTCTTCGCCAGCAGCAAGCGCATCAGGAAGACAGCGGCCACCCTTATGCAGCTCCGCCAGGGGCCTAACGAGACCTTGCACAGTTTCATGACGAGATTCAACAAGGAAAGACTACAGATACCCGACCTCCATATCACAGCGACTGTTTCGGCTCTAACATATGCCGTAAGGTGTGAGGCCTTTAGGATGTCTTTGTCTAAGACACCCCCGAAGTCAGTAACAGAGCTCCTAACCCGAGGTGAGAAGTACATCAACATGGAGGAGGCCATGAAGGCCACCCCGAGCTCTGAGAAATCCCAATTGAAAAGGTCACACGAGCCCAGTGTGAGATAGGATCATGCTCGGGGAAAGCCGAGGTAGGAAGGACAACCTAGGCCGTTTACTCGTCTGAACACTTCTAAGTTCAACATACTAATGGAGATCAGAGACATGAAAGATCTTAAGTGTCCTCCTAGGTTGCGATCACCTCCGGAGGGAAGAGACAAGAGCAAGTACTGTGACTTTCACAGGGATCATGGGCACACCACGGAGGAATATATAATGTTACAGCGGGAGATCGAGGCATTGATCAAGAGGGGATATTTGAGGACATATGTCGGAAACGACAAACGTCCGAGGAATGATCACAACAAGGAAAGGACATCGAGCTCAGGAGGAGACAACAAGCCCACTGCTGGTACGATCAACATCATTGTTGGAGGAATAGCGTCGGGGGGCGATTCGAATAATAAAAGGAAACAATATGTTCGACATCATGGATTGGCCCAGGAGACCACTCTTTCCAACATTGAGGACATCACCTTCGGAACAGGGGACCTGGAGGGCATTACATTCCCTCATGACGATGCTTTGGTCATATCCGCCATAATAGCCAATTTCGAAGTCAAGAGGATACTTGTAGACAATGGGAGTGCCGCCAATGTATTGTCCCAAGAAGCCTTCGAGAAGATGGGAATTTCTGCCAACCAACTCAAGATGGTCAAGACCCCGCTCCAAGGATTTGGGGGTGGAACAATCATTCCAGAAGGAATTGTTGACCTTCCGCTGACTTTGCTCATGGGCCAGAAACAGGTGACGGAGATGATGCCTTTCCATGTAGCACAGACCTCCGTACCATACAACGCTATTTTGGGAAGACCATTACTCAACAAAATCAGGGCCATTGTATCCACTTTCCACCTTACTATGTAATTCCCAACGAATCATGGCATAGGGGTTGTACGTGGCGACCAAGCAGCAGCGAGGAAATGTTACATCTCAAGCATTCAGGGGTTGAGCACTGACGTCATGCAACTGAAAACCCCTGAGCTCGAGCTCGAGCATCATAGTAGACTTGCCCCGGTAGAAGATTTGGTGGAGGTCGAGCTCGAGCATGGTAAAAAGGTCACCATTGGTCGGGGTATTGATGCCGCTCTGAGGGACGAACTCATCAGGTGTTTATCCCGCAACATTGATGTATTTGCTTGGAAGGTAGAAGACATGCCAGGGATAGACCCCGAAGTCGTGGTCCATAGACTCAATGTGAAGCCTGACGCAAAGCCGATAAAGCAAAGGAAGAGGCAATTTGCGCCGGAAAGACGGGATGTAATACGTGAGGAGATTAACAAACTCGCCAATGCTCAATTCATTAGGGAGGTCCAATATCCAGACTGGCTTGCCAACGTCATCCTTGTTAAAAAGGCTAATGGTAAATGGAGAGTATGCATTGATTTCACAGATCTCAACAAGGCGTGCCCAAAGGACAGTTATCCTCTACCTCGGATTGACAATTTGGTGGATAGCACCTCAGGTCATAAGATGTATAGCT